AGCAGGCTCAGTGGTAACCTAAAGGTTGTAGGTCGGGTCCTTGGCTGGGTGGGGTCGTGGGTGCTCACTACTGGAGAGTCCTGTACCAGGACGAAACAGCTATCCAGTGTTTCCATTGTTCCTCCAACTGATCTCAGTCTTTGATGAATACTAACCACTATATGCCATAATAAAAATACATGATTCTATCATGACTTATTTTCTTCTGAATTGAATGTATGACATGAATGAACTGACATTCAAATAAACATATAAATTAGTTCATGAGAATGGTAAGTTGCACTGATTAGTCAATAGAGAGTAACGCACTTCATGTTGTTTAGCTCTATATGCTCACTGAAATGTATCGATCATTTTGCAATGTAGCCACCAGACTAGACCACTTAGCATCGCAATACACTTTGATAGACGTTAGTTAGATAGACGCAATCGGCGGGAAGACCTTGGAGCAAGGTTTGGGGCTTTCTGGCACTCGTCAGCAAGGCGTATCTCCAAATATGACGGGACTAATGTCCCGCCTGAGATTCGAACCCCCGTCACTCAGTGTTGTAGTCATCGATGTTACCACCGAGCTATTCTGGACGCGGCTGACATCCTGTAGGACTGGATTAGATATACTGATTGATCACTGATGAGTAACCAACTTCATGTTGTCTAGTCCTATGTGCTGACTGAATTGTGTCGATCATTTTGTAATGTGGTCACCAAGCTAAAAAACCTCACCATCATGATGCACCGATGCATGAAGAACTTTGCCGATTGCTTTCATCCAACCAACATTTCTCTCCAATAAAAAATTACTAAGTAGTGTAACAATCGATTGAACACCATTATGAGTGATGCTTATTTGTTCTGTCTCCCTGATGTTCCATACTCTCTTTAAACTAGCTGATAAGTTGACCGTGACTAAGTTCTATCATCCTTTTCTGTCAAATACTTTGAATTACAACCGTCTATTTTTTGTGGAAATGAATATTGTTTTTTCTCTTTCCTATGTGCTGAACAGAAAGCAGCAACTAAGGACAAATAGTTGTATAAAGCTGAGTTCATATTGATTTCGCAGTTTCTCTTCAGCTGTTAACAAATTAAAATAAATAGAGGGATTGTGTCCGAATAAAGTAGCTGTACATAATGGGGAAGACAGATACAACAGGCAAAATAAATTGAAGAATGTTAGCGATACGAATGGCTCTTTGGTTTAAGATCTTGACTTTCAACCAATAAGTTGCGAGTTCGAAAACCACTCCACCTACTGAAGTTTGGACAGCTAGAGATAGTGGTGTGATTAGCCGTCACACATAACAGATGTGGCTCATAGCCTACTGCATGAATGTGTAGGGAAACATGGAACAGGTAGTGGTCGATTATTGATTTTCCCTCTCTGACTAAAGAGGTCAGGCTTAAGCGTTTAATTTTTTTGGATTCTTCACAGGGGAAGTGTTTTGTCGATTTATGACTTCATAAACTGCAAGTTTACTTACATTTGTCCTGAGTCGACTGATCTTGTGAGCGATTTTGAATTGTTCCACCTTAAACTGTTCAGAAAATCTTTAAAAAGATGTAATGCGATATCCCTTTATCTTTTGTGTATGATACATCTGCGATTATTATGTTATTCCATATTAGATTTGTTTATTTGACTTGTAACACACAGTAATACATTATTATATACCTGATAACGTTTCGAGCATAAATTATTGCTCATAATCATATCAATGTAATCACACTACTTGCAACATCTCATTCTTATTGCTCTATCACCTCATATTCCCAGTTTTTATGGATAGTAAAATTTTCTGTCTCTCGCATAGATGTTAATTCATTGCTATATTATATGTGATGGGTGTTAGTTGATTCGATGAACAAAGATTCACTAATGAATCTCTCTCTCCACCTAAGTATATTGAGCTTAAGTATAATGGTTTTATCCCACCCATCCTATTGTATGGTTGTGTGTTAATCCATGCTTTGTAATAGCCAAGTCTTTATCTAGACATCATCAGCACTAACTTCAGTATGAAGTCATACTGAAGATAGTGCTAATGATGTCATCTAGAAAGACGATGAAAGCTTCACGATTAAACAACCCAGCTCAGAGAACACAGTACAAACAAGACCATCCACCTGAGCTACAAATATTCTCCACTGTTTTAGATTATTATTCTTTCTAGGGTCTATAATTCAGTTCTTAGCTAACTTCTTATGTCCCGCTAATCTACCTGACCCCGACCGGATAGTTTGACCTATGTACTTGACCTCACAATCATTGCATGGAATCTGGTAGATCAGATTATTTTGCTGAATTGGTTCTATCGGATCCTTAAGCCGGAGTAAAACGTTCGTCTCTGAGTGAGTTTGTAGATTTAAATGCCACCGTTATTCCAGCCTTGTGGAGAATCCTACCTAAAGTTTCTGATGTTCCACACTGGGGGCTGTGAACTCCTTCCTACTCATGTTTTCGTTATTATTCGTACTCATGTTACTGTTATTATTTCTTTTGTGTGTTTGTACGAATTTTTCAATAAACTGTAGAGGATAATTATCAACTATTAGAGCACGTAAGGAAAGGTACCTGAAGATTGGAAGAAGGGCTACCATGTCAAACTCCCAAAGAAGAGAGACCTAAGCCTTTGTAAGAACTGGTGATGAATCATGCTGCCATCCACCCTAAGCAAAATATTATGCCGCATCATCCTGGAGAGACTAAAGGATGCGCTGGACTCAAAATTACGACCTGAACAGGATGGATGGATTCACGAAGAAGAAATCATGTGCGCATCAAATTGCAACGCCATGCTATTCATCATCATAGAACACAGCATAGAACGACAGTCAACTCGCTACCTCGACTTCATCGATTTAGAAAAGGCCTTCGACAGCATCGACCGAGAAGTAATTTGGCAGTTGCTTCAACACTACAGAGAACCACAAACCTTTATCAACCTCATTCGACGGCTACATGATGGTAAATGCCAAGCGATTCACAATGGAAAGATCAGTGATGTCTTTGAAGTGAAGAGAGGACTGAGTAAGACAAGGTTACCGTCTACTACCACCGATGATCTTCCTGATTGTGGTCGACTGGATCATGCAAGAGACTGTGAGGAGTGAGAAGATGGGCATATGTTGTTTGACGGATGAAGAGAGCCCAGAACATTTGGATTTTGCCGATGATGATTTATATCTAATATCTTGTCGCACAAACTCGGAGATGTACAGGCGAAAACTGACAAGTTGATAGAAGAGGTAGGGCAGCGAAGACAGGACTTCCTTCAGGTGAACGTAGACAAGACAGAGGTGATGAAGATACCCAACCGATCAACAACAGCAAGTACCAATCACCATGATCGGGAGAAACCTAAAGGAATTAGTCTTTATCGCCAGGTTAAAATGATTGCAGAGAAGAGAGTGCAATGAAGGCGTGTTACTGAAGCCCTGTATTCCACTAGGAACCCAAGAGACAATAATAATCATTAGCGCACGTTAAAGCGCTTATATTTTAGAGAAAAACTCGCCTATTCCAATGCCTTCATTAACAAGTACACAACCATACAATAGGCTGCGTGGGATAAGACCACTATACTTAAGTCCAATATAACTAGATGGAGTGAGAGATTGATTTGTGAATCTTTGTTCATCGAATCAACTAACACCCAAGACATGTAATATAGCAATGAACTAACATCTATGCGAGAGATATGAGAAACTTTACTACCGATTAAAGCAAAGACTGATGAGGTGACAGGACTATATGAATCAGATGTTGCAAGTACTGTGATTACATTGATATGATTATGAGCAATAATTTATGCTCGAAACGTCATCAAGTAAATAATATCGTACCACTGTGTTGTTATATCACTAAATTTTAAAAAAATTTAATATGGAATTGAATTCTACCACAGTACCCAAGTTTCACAACACATATACATTAGTTATTATGTTATGACTGAAATTTCATTCCTATTAAGTTCTACGATTTAATTTTTATTACTCAATGATCTTCCCTCCAACGACTACTTACAAACTTTATCACTATCATTTTGATTGTTAACATTCTACAATTTATTTCATATGTTGTATCTCGTAATCCTCAGTGTATGTTGCTACTTTATCTGGATAGAAAAGCACGTTTCTAATTTTAAGCATTCTAGTCTGATAACAGCTGAGGAGAAACTGCGAAATAAATGTGAGATCAATTCATTCTGGAAAAAAATATTTTTTACTATTTCTTTAATGAACCTATCGCCCAACAAATATGCAGAAGGAAGTAAAGATGGATTGGGCATGCACTGAGAAGACCATTCGGGGACATTACGCACCAGGTCAGGCACTCGGATGGAACCCAGATGGGAAACGACGAGTTGGGTGTCCTAGGTGAGGGTGACATAGAGGAGATCATGTGAGCCAGGTTGAAAAGATTGCAGAGAACATAGTGCACTGGAGACGTGCTACTGAATCCCTATGTTCCACTAGGAACCCAAAGGACAAATAATAATAATTTCTTTAATGAAAATGATGCAGAGAACACGTATGACTTCTGTTTAAGTTTAAGAGACAGAGTTACTCAATCTTAAAGAAAATAAAAGGTATCGATAATTAGTAATAAAGAGCATCACTAATGCATAGTGATGCAGATATAACTGAAGCATCTTTTCCCATTTGTCATCTAAAGTCTTCAGTCATTCATTGCGTCTATTTTATTTGTTGAAACTCTCAAACAGCCCAGAAAAAACAGTAGTCAGGGATCACATAACTGGATTCTACGTCTTAATTTGTTCAGTAAATCTCCTTGAATTCATATTGGACCTTGAATCGTGATGAACTCTTACCCAGATTTTAGGAGTGTCTAAAACTTGCCGGATAGCGTTGATAATTTATGAATTTGACTTATATATCTTGCTTGCAATCGCTTTTTTTCTATTAGTTAGCTACTTTCGAAATATAAGTACTCGTTATTATTATTCATAACCTCATCATATTTTCTACTTTTTTTTCAGGATTTCCTTAAATTGAATCCTGTGGATGGTAAAATCAGTGGAGAAGCCGCGCGTAGTCATATGCTTAAATCGAATTTACCCAATAGTACCTTGAGAAATATTTGGATTCTTGGTGATGTTGATCGTGATGGTTGTTTGGATGAGGATGAATTCTCTTTAGTTTGTTATTTGATTAAATTGAAATTAGAAGGTTATGAATTGCCATCTTGTCTTCCTGAGCATTTAATACCTCCATCGAAACGTAATGTTGGACAACCACTACGCAACGGCTATCATAAAGGTTAATTTCGCCGAATGAAAGTATTCCTGAATGCTGAGAAGCTAAAACCTAGCAAGGGATTAACTCCCAGCAGCTTATTTTGCTTTTCTGTCGTTATTGTTTAAATACCTGCTTTGCGCTTTTCTACCAATTGTCTAGTCAAAAAAAACTGTGGAATAAAGGTTTCTACGTATTCTTTCCGGTTCAAGCATGTTGTTAGTCTCCTTAAGATTTTTAATAATACTACATACTACTATTAAAATCATAAGTAGCACGAGTATGTTCAGTGTAAAAAAAGAAGAAACAATGCAACCAAGTGATCGTTTTCCCCACTAAACATGCGTTTTGCTTCCTTTTTGTCACTTACCCGTTTATCTGCCTTAGCCTGTTTGTTTTATTTCTAAGTCTCAGATCTATGACTTTTACGATTGATAATCACCTCCTACTCTTCTTTATCCTTTATACATTTTTGCATGTGAATTGCCAGTCATAATTAATTCTAAAGAGAATAGCTAATTAACTTTTTATTTGTAAAATAAAGTGCTACGTTCGTAGGTAATCATAGTGTACATTTCCTTTTTCATTATTCAATATTCACAATAATCATAATTATACTGGATGTTGTTTGAAGGTGAGGTGAAAATTCGAACCAGCGGCCACCGGGTTTCTGGCCCGATACTCTACTAACCGAGCTACAATTGTCAAACTGATTGAAGTGAAATAAAAATCTGATCAGCAGTCGAACGTTGTAGCTCAGTTGGTGTAGCATCGCACCAGAAACTCGGTGGTCGCTGGTTCGAATCCGGCCGCGGTCTAGCTTTTCATCTCACCTAGTATAAATACTAGTCTGCCAAACTGCGGCTATCTCAGATAGTCAAGTGATAATCATACTTATGTCAATGCCCATCTGTAATTAAGTGCAATGACAGTAGTATTGTTTTAGTAACAACTATGCTTTCAACGATTTCCACTGAAGTAAGCCAAACTGCATAACTCGTGGCACACGATTTATTTGATGTGATGATCGATGCATATATATATATATATATATATATATATATATATATATATATATATATATAACAATGGAGCATTCCAATGATAGATTTTCTTTACTGTTCATCTTTGATCTCCGGGTTTTGTTTTTAACAGGTTAGAAGATAACTAATAATGCCAATGGATCTTTGATCCGATAGACTGGAACTCCTTTGTAGATTAACCCAAACACTACAGAATATGACATCTGTATATCAGCTCATGTTATGATAGTTTAGCAGCGGGAAGACAAAAATGCTAAGTTGATTTGATAGTGATAGAAAGTATATAAAATTGAATATATGTAGGGGTATTTCCAAGAAGATAAGTTGTGAATGTAACTCCATTTATCACGATTCATTAAGAGCTTGTTATAACCCTGTTGCCACTTGTTACATCTTTGGTTGAAATAATCTAGATTATATATGCAGGCGCTTGGACAGTAACCTTCAGATTACACCCGTCACTGAGTTTCTCGATATATAGAAAAGGTATACTGCAACATCAAGCAATATGAACCTTAGGTATTTCTAGACCATTTTAGATATGAATATCCTATCGATTTTTTTTATCTCTTCAACTAATCTGATGTTGACAAGTTGGTTCACGTGCTTTCTCTCGAAACTTCCGTGCAAAATCATTGGCTGTAAAAAGGCACAAGGATCCATTGTTTTAAGTATCTGTAGTTGGGAGGTTTTCACGAGCACGGAAAAACAAATTTTAAGAGTAGTGACCAAAGTAAATAGCTCCACTGAAGTAGTTCAACTGACAAACAATAGAATGTTGTCAGTCTAGCAGTTTGTCTTATAGTTTGAGTATTCCCACTAAGTGTACAAAAAACATAATTCGTAATTTTCCAGTATTAAAAGATTTTCTGCTTAGTTTACGAAATAGTATCTCGTTAGAAATATCACCTCTGAATGGTACTCAGAAGTTCTCTGCTAGCAGTAGGAATACCTTTTTTCCCATTTTTGTAATAATGTTTGTTCATGGATCTGCCCGATTAGTGCGTTGTGTAGAATAGTAGTATCTTCTAGACTCTATTCAACTTACAGTCTTTTCAAATTCCGTTTGTACTGAAGGGTAATAAAACTGCTGAAGAGATGTGTCCGGCCCAAGTACATTTTTAAATGATTACCTCCTTATCGACGCATATGCATATGCTCTTGAGGAAAGAATAAAAAAAAGGCTATTCCACCTTCCGACTCTTCCTTACACGTAGATTTTATCGATGGATGTACTGTACCGAACTTGTTAAGTATCTTCAACTTTTCCATGCCTTTTTTCACACAAGATGAACGTATAATCTGACAGTAAAATGGAGATCCACTGAATGAACTAGTCATTCAGACTAATCCTTAGTTTAGCTGGAGAAAAAAATATTTGCTAATATGGAATCCGGTAGCGAATCGATTGCCACTCCACCTACCTATGGGTCTTAATAGCATGGGAACAGTATTCAAGTGGTCAGGCATTCCTTATTGTGAATCTTATCAATTAGATTTTTCGGTGAATAGATTTTTAGTCAAGTATACACATAGACTTTAACTACCTTAATACAATAAGTTGTAAAAATTCTACTACAGACCATGCCCTCCTCCGACTGTTTGATATTCCTTTGACTTCGCCAAACTTTTAATTATGTTCCAGTTACCTACACTTTACAAAATACACTAACAGTGTTCGACAGATAGGTTTTACAGCTGTAGACTATTGGGATTTCAGTAATATCAAGCAACTTTCTCACACAAAACTTGTAGAACTCTAATACTGAAATAATTTTACATCATAAACGCGCTACATACATGCACTACTCAAAGAAGAATATGTAAAGGATTTTGTAGTCATTGAAATTCTATTCTTATCTTCAAAGCATATACCAATATCTTAACAAACATAACAGGCTCATATGTCGTCGCGACTTTGTTACTACACCATATCAAATCAAATACAAAAGATAAATGATAGTGAATTAGCTGACTGAATTCTCTTTCCATAACTTTAGATTGAAGTAGATGATAAGGTGAAGCACACCAGACCATACTATGCCCTAAAACTAACCATAAATTATGATGATTAGAGATAGATCAGAGAAACTTGTACTCCTATTCAAGAAATTACAGACTGTAAGACTGTGAGTGATAGACTATAATGAAGTTTTTCCATTCTTGAAAAAGTATTCATCACAAAAAGTATGTTGATATCGGTATTCACAAAATGTTAAGAACCGATAGTTGGAGACCAAAGGTGATTCTCTGTTCACAATGGCAACTCACGTTTAGATTTAATATAAAAAGTGCTTCACAACCCCTAGGAACAGTGACATAACATTCATCCAAAGTAAAATGTGTCTCAGTTCTTACTAGCTTTTTAAAACGACTATGGTTTATATGAAAAATAAAGGAAACCAGACACCTTGGTTTATGCTACTAAAACTAGAACTATGCACTATATGCAAGACGTTCAGGTTAAGAGGTGAAAACCTTTAACAATCTTTGATACAGTTACCTTGCTTAGGCTGGAAAAGATCAAAAATGGCCAATTTAAGATTTCTAATAGTCCATGAAGTCTACGACTGATAATCTGATATGATGTAGGGCAGTGTAAGCCTCCCATTCGGGTCCGTACGCCAACTGAAACAGATAATCTAAGAGACTTGATGACATAGCTCAGAACCGATCTAAGTGGAGTAGGTGCATCCACAAATCATCTTTATCTTAATCACCATACCATAGTTTGGTAGTGCTATATACCCCTAATTTTGCACAGCTTTTGACCATGACTTTAAAAAAACCTACATGGCTGTTTTAACACTGTTATTAGTTTTTCTTCCCTCTGCTCTCAAGGCTGAACTCTCATTGGTTTTTAATTACTTTCACCTATATGTGGATTTAGCGTCGTCAAGGTCATTTAGAAATGTACATATTCAGCATCAATACCAACTGTATTGAGACAGTAAAAAGCTCTCTGTCAATGATCTGTCTTTTCTTGTCTTTGTAGTATTGTTGTAGTGGTGGTTGACGTTCTGATTTGCGTTAGAGTCGATTCGTTTGTGCGTTAGGTTCGTATTGTTCGTAGGCTGTTAGGTCATACTACCGGTCATAGCACGTAAATGCTTTACCCACTCATGTTCCCTCCTATGACGTTCTACTTTTTTCACTATATTTCCCATCAATTTTCCCCTATACCATCTTAGTGCCTTCTATACTGATGTGAGGTACCACGACTTGGAATGTTACGCTATATAATCGAGATCTTATGCTGATATTGATTGTTAACTTCAATTTATAGTGATTTGCTATATTGTAATGATACTCGTAATTTCCCTCTTGTTGAGCAATTCGGCCCTGCATAGCAACAGGAAATTACAAGTATCGAAATAACAACTGAAACTTGTTTCACAAGAGGTGGCTATCGTGTCCCAGTGACCTAGCGGATAACGCTTTGGCGTTTGAGACGATGGGTAATGACTTTGAGCCTCAGTGGGAAAAGGTACGCCCAGCTGACGAGTCCTAAATAGGACGAAACGCGCGTCCTGGATCAATATATATATATATATATATATATATATATATATATATATATATATATATAAGCATTTTATTAAAAATCCAATACATGCCTGTGGCTACGCATACACAAATCCAGTTATGTTTTACAAATTACTTCTTGGAAAGCACTAAAATATCTTAAAACTTTGCCATCCTTATTCAATAACCAAACAGCAAAAGAAACTGTGACAGCTATCTGGAGTTAGGTATTCAAAAAAGAAAGATATTCATACAAAGTAACACGATGACATCATAAAAATGAGTATAAGTAACTGTGTATAGCGTACACGATTATGAATCAGATACTAATTCACCATCCACCTTTCTTCGTCGAAGCTCAATAGCTTCATCATCTAAATGTTCATCAGATCCATCTACTTCATGAATATCAGGTGTCGACTTTTCAACTCCATTCTAGAATAAGAAAGAATAGACAACTAGTTTTTAATGAAGTAAAACAGATGAAGGCTTATCAAAGAAAATGTACACATTTTTTGTGCCTTTCGTAAACGGTGTAGACTCCTTAAAATAAGTTCATCTAGTCTATCTGTTTCATGTAATTCTAATATGATGAATGATAGTAAGAATTTTACACCTTAGATTGTAGATGCTTACGACAAAGTTATCGTGATGCTGAACTAAAGATAACAGTACAATTGATGTCAAAAGCTTCTTACATAAAGACTAAATCCTGTAAAACAATAACACCATCAAAGTGTACCTTAGTTCATTAGTTTATAAACAATTAACAAGATGACAATTCAATCTAGATTGAATAAATCTAGCGCTGATTGGTTACTACCTTCGAGAGATGATTCCTGAAGTTCCAACGAGAAGTCGTGTAGTCCGCCAAGTTGAACATAAGGACAGTAACTCAACGACGACATTGGATAAAGCTCACGCTATATTGTGAACTGACAGAAGTAGGAAATATCGAATTACAACCCAGTAGCTCAATGGTAACGTGTTGGTTGCGAAACCTGAAGGTACCTGGATTTGATCTCAGACGAGGTCATGAGTGCCCACTGCTGAAGAGTCCCACACTAGGACGAAACGGCTGTCCATTGCTTCCAGGGTTCCAATGTTCCTTTAACTGATGTCAGCCCATGATGGATTCGAACCATTCTTGTAGAAGCTTAAGCAATAAACCTTCCGATAGTAGTTATAGGCTTCATCCTTGATGAGTGGAGTAGAATCATTAGTCTTTATAAACAGAAAAGCTGTGGTTCACGTATAACTTAGTGAATGAACCTGTATGTGACTGCTGAGTTGAATTTTTATTTTCTTATTTCACATGGTTACAAACAGCTATTTTTGATATTGTTATAATGGACTAAAGAAACGAAAATAGGAATCTGCAACAAGTAAAGATGTAGTACCTTAAGAAAATCAGCAGAACTGTGTCTATGAAATCAAATGTGGAGATTGTAGTGCAGTATATGTAGGGGAAACAGTCAGGCAGGTAAATGTGAGAGTCAATGAGCATAAACTATGCCTAAAGCAGATCCCAAAGACCTCAGCAGAGGTTAAGAAACTATATTTAAAAAAATCCGCAATCGCGCTACACTCCATAGAAATGGGACATAAAATTGACTTTGATGGGACTATGGTTCTACAAAAAGGTTTTGGGTCATATCAAGAAAGATTGACAGCCGAAGACCTACATATATGGGCGAATCTAGACAGTTCTAACAAACAAGATGGAGTACAGTTAGCTGCCTTTTGGCAATCACTAATTAGTAAGCAGAGAGAGTTACTCAAAATATTTATCATCAACACTAGTCTCAACTTTATTGTCTCTGCATCAACTACAACACAATCTGGATTGATTTGGTTCATTATTACTATCATCATTTTTATCATTATTATTATCATTACTCATTTCCATTCTTTTTCCAGTAAATAAACGGAAAAATTCGTTAATACTATCCACCACTATATTCCAACTGAAATTGCATATATATATCCGCCTTATCCATTCCATTGTACTTATAAAAATTACCGAATGACCTATGACCTTTTTGTCTGGTATTTACAATCAAGATGAATATGATTTGGAGTATGTATAAACATACACATATTACATTCATACACACACCATATAACAAAAGACATACAATTTCACACTGAATGATTAGTTATCATAAGTTAGATCTCCGGTTCGAATTCAGCTGCGGTTTTAAATTTTCATCTCACCTTTAATCATCATCCAGTATAATTTAGAAAGACAATGACTATACAAAGAGGATTAGACAAGGAGATTAAATACACGTTTTTTGGATTCATTTATATATCCTTGATATTTCAATTTTGATTATTTCCTGAAGAAGTTAGGACCAAACTTCCATGTGAAACGTTGGAATTATTTGATTTCAAACTGGCTTTGACTTACACAAATACAATCTATATCTAGTGTCAACCTTCTACTTAGTACCTAGTATTTGCCATACTATGCGATCAAATCTTCTACATAGTTTAGATAAACTATTATCAACCGTATTATTCTATATATCTTTTGAAAGACATTTTACTGCAGACTTTTAGTATATAACTTAGTCGAAGGATTTTTATTGGCTCCGAAACCTATTCTGTACAACTTGTGATTACGAAATAACTACACATTAGGTAAAATTGTGCATGTATGTATATGAAATTAGATATTTCATTTTTATGAATTATAGTGAGTTGTAGTTATATGACTTTAATGTAGATGTAGATGACTTCAATTCCCCAAAATACAAAGATAAATCATTAATTTCTATCGTCTATTGTATACTGAAAAGGAAAAGAAGGACTAACGTTTAAAAGGTTGCAAATATTTTGTCTTTCATCCAGTTCAATTGGTAACTTATAGATATATGAGTAAAGTGTAGACAAGTTCACCGACATTCATACAGTCAAATGTACAGAAACTCACAACCACTTGAAGTTGGAATTACGTATTCTGCAGCTATCACTACAAGCATTTGATATATATATATATATATATATATATATATATATATATATATATATATATATATATATATATATATATATATATATATATATATATATATATAGGGAGCGAGAGAGAGAGAGAAGTCGGTAGAACCCGATATTTCTCTCGAAGTTCCCTGAATTGGTCATCTGTTTACAGTTACCTAGAAAGATTTTATCAATGACTACAATCTTCTAACAAAAATAGGACACTTGAACATAATAATCAATGCTTATATGATTGGATCAGTGAGTACATGAAAGCACTTAACGGGAAAATCCTGATAACCAATTTGATAAACATTGTATCCAAGATTCGAAGGTTCATATTTATCTTACGGGTAAATGAAAATCAAGAAAACTAGGCACATCTGCAAGTAATATTACCTTAAGGATACAGAGTGAAGTGGTTGAATGAGCTGACCACCTCACTTACATAGTGAGTTGCATCAATTCGAACGGACTGGTTGCTGACGAAATCTCAGCTCGGATACAGAAGACCCATTTAGCATTTACCAACTTGCATCATCTCTAGTGTCGACTGGTGAGATATCCAACTACCTTCTAAACGACCAGAATACTGCATATAGTTCATTCTGTTTTACTATACCGCCATGAGGCACAGTCATTGAAAATAAATCTGAACAGATTTTTGAATACAGGTATTTTCGTAGCATTGCTCATGTATAGTGGAATCACCGAGTGAGAAATGTCGAGATTATGCGAAGGTAAGTTAGTCGATGAGGTTGTGAACCTTTACCAAATAACATGACTTAGACATATGCTGTGCAGACTGAGCCACATTCTACCATGAAGTCCAGTTTTAGTGGAAGTAAGATTAAGTTTAAAAAAGGTTTAGGTTGACCAAACCAAGATGTGGTACTATTGCATGAAATCCTTCACTGTTGGTTTGAGACATATAGGAAAGTGTAGACTCCCTAGTTCAGGTCGTCGAGATTATAGGAATCAGCGGTTGAGACGTCTTGGTGACATGGAGGAAAGTTGGTCACAAGGGCTTAGATGTACCCCTTATGATTTCTGGATTTCTTCTCCTCCCTTAAATCATTGTCTACTTTTATATCACTCTTTTCATATTCATTTGTTCTTTGTATACTACTATGAAGTTTGGCAACTCGGATCAATGCACTTCTGTGCGAAGTTCTACATTGATCTTGTCTGACTGAGTGGCATCCAATAAATAATAATGTATCATTTTCAGACATATAGTAAAAGACTATTTGTTGTAGAAATGTCACAGAGCCAAAGCATACTTAACTCTTTGGCAAAGTTGGTCTTGTAAAAATGCGGCTAATTGGTTTAAGCTTTTGACTTTTAACCAAATAGGCCCTACTGTTTCAATTACTTCAGCATTGGCAATCAGATGGTATTGTAAATACTCGTACAATAAATGGGACTTATATCCTCGTACATAAACATGTATAGCGTTGAATTACATTATAATTTCATCTAGGTTGTTTGTATCTGCCAGACACTATGCATACTTGAGATTGATAAAAGTGAATAGAACGAAAATAGGAATAAACGACTACTGTAATACACATAACAACTTACAGATTCAGCTACTTTTTTAGATTTTCTAATGAATCGCAGGATTTGCGGTCGTGGAGGAAAGAAACAATCAAAGATCAACACAAGCATCTATAGATAGAGAATTAAAGTGAACTATCATTTTGAATAACTTACTAATCCAATAAACAAACCAGAAAAGATGGTTGATACACCAATAATTAAAAATGACATCCAAGGACGATAACCAGCATCTAAAATTGCTTGGTGGATATTCTAGAAAAGCGAATAGATAAGATTGAATTAATGATTATGAATACAAACCGTAATCAGGACGCCAAGATCCATAAAACGAATGAAACACTGCATACTAGTTAATTCATAGAAAAAGTATTAATATGTGAGAATTACTGAAGAGATGCTGGTGAATAATACCAAGGTAAAGGTGTTTCAGATTCATATTTTTTAGATTTTAGATAAACTTTGAGATCATCAAAATTTCTTAAACCATCATATACTCTGAATAATCCATTCTTCACACTAAAATATAAAACAAAACACATTTATATACGATTAGTTCAGATTGGGAAGAATACAATGAAAAAGTTAAAACCAAACAGGAATTAAAACGTTGGGTAAATAGCGAAATATATGTAAGAATTAGTTATGATTTCTAAAACTGCTGTGCGATGGCCGCTAACGACGTATGGATATCGACTGTCAACCACCAACATTCGACAAATCCCCAGTCAGTTATCAACCCAACTCATTGATGGAGAAGATTACAATGGACGCGTAGACATGTGGTATTGAGGTCGAAAGTCAAAGGCCAAAACAGCTAATAGATAGTTCACTATTTAAAATACTAATATCTCATTTTTTCTTTTCGATGAAGTCATTTACTAAGCTGTACATTCGTGAATACATTTTACAGTGGGTCAGGGGGCAAAATATATTGAATGACGAAAGGAAGTTAATTAATACACATTTGTGTTTAAAGTGGGAAAATAGACAGGAGATTATGAAATTAAATGTAATTATGTGATACAGGATGAATGTATGGCAAAGTAGGAAACTGAAACAAGATTTATGGAGATAAAATTGCGATTATGTAACACCGGATAAGCCTATGACAGAGTGTGAGGATAAACAGGGTATAATGAAAATGAGATTGTGATTACGTAATGCAGGCTCAATCTATGACAGTAGAAAAATGAATAAGGTATACATGTGTAGTTACCTGATACAAAATGAATCCGTGGCAGACAGGACTTTATGATGGCCATGGCAAAGATGAAGGTTGGACATACCTTTTTTGCATGCATAACGCTGGTTTGAACTTCTGGATGGCTAATGCTTCAACTATAGACAGATGCCTTGATCTTACTCCCTTCGAGTGGTTTGATAGAACCCTGTAGAGAATTTTGAATGAGCTCTCGAAAGGGGCTAAGTGGCCTGAGTTCACGAGGTGTTCTGTTATCGAAATGAAGATGCATTTCCGTTCTCCCTTTGCGAGCCAGGCTGGGTAGTGTTCACGGACACGTTTTATAAGCGGATGCACGGTACGGCCGATGTACTCAGCTCCACAAAAGCAAGTAAACTGGTATACACACATTGATGTGGCCCAATACGTCGGCCTGCCTTTCACATATTGACCGAAAAGTTTCTTGCAGGAAAAAATTATCCGAAGGTTGGCGGCGAAGTATGTTGTGTTTATGGATTTTGACAGTTGTTTCCTCAGGATCTCTGCAGCAAAATCATTTTCAAATTCAAGATTCGACAAAAGAATCTTTTTCGGCGCCAAATGTCTTTGTTCACTTGGGTTCTTTGGCTTTATTTTCTTATCTATGAATCTGAGCGGGAACCCGTTTTCCGCTAGAGTTCGTCGAAGTATTTGCAGTTCTTCGTCAACCGTGTCCTCAGCACATATTTTCCTGATCTTCGAGGAAAGTGAACGAATAAGATTTCTTTTCCTGCATAGGAGGACTGAACTCTGAAAATTAACAAACTGTCCGTTCTATGTAGGCTTTCTGTAGACCCATCTACGAAGTGCATTATCGTCTTTTCTTTGAAGTTGAACATCAAGAAAATGGAAGGTTGAGTTTGATTTTGATTCTAGAGTGAATTTGGTTGAAGTGTGAGCATTGTTGAATGTATGAAGCAGGTTTGCAAGATTCATATTTTCATCACAAACTATAAACGTATCATCCATGTATCTTTTGTAGACATAGAGTTCATTGATTGTTGATGATAATTTGGTGTTTCCCAGGCTTGCCACGAAGCAGTCAGCTAGTAGTGGTCCTAGTGGAGACCCCATCGCCATACTATCTATCTGCCTGTAGATCATTAAATCTGAAGTGTACATTGAAGGTACATCGAAGAAGAAGCTCTTTTAGGCAGTGAATTAGGATACCAACATCTATGTTATGACGTTGAATGAATTCGCATAGGAAGCAGATGGTTTCTGTCAGTGGGACATTTGTAAAGAAGGACAGGATATCCAATGAAATCATTCTTTTACCTGCCAAATTGACACTCTTTATTGAGTAAACAAAATGAAATGTGTCACGGAGACGGTAGTTCAATAGCCTCTTCTTTACAGGTTCCAGCACTTCCACCAGCCATTTCGCGATTGAATGATACGGAGAATTTATCATATCTAGTATTGGACGCAGTGGGATGCTTTCTTTATGTATTTTAGGGAGACCGTATAGACGGGAAATTGAAGACCCTGATGGGCGAAGTTGTTCATTTACTTCTTTGATTTCGTTGACTCAATAGTGTCAATTTGGCAGGCAAAAGAATGATTTCTCTATTTATCAAATAACTTACTACAACTTTTCTTAATACCATTTCCATTCTTCACTGTTTTTGTTGATTTGCTAACATCAGATGTGATGAATCGGGTTGTTACGCTGCATTGTTATTATTATTTTCCCCTTGGGTTCATAGTGGAACATAGGGATTCACTAGCACACCTTCATTGCACTTTCTTCTCTGCAGTCTTTTCAACCTGGCTCCACCACAGCCCACAAGCTCTCATTTCTTCCTCACATGATCTCCTCCACGTCACCCTCGCCTCGGACACCCAACTCGTCCTTTCCCCTTTGGATTCCACTCGTGATGTCCCCCAGTTGGCCTTCTCGGTGTATGCCCAATCCATCTCCACTCTCTTCTGCATATTTGTTGCGTGATAGGTTCTTAGTTGGTTCGTTCCAAGAGTTCCTTGTTGCTTATTCTTATTATTCTGGCCATCTGATCTTCAGTATCGAGCCAGCGTGGGCGGCAGCTGTTGATGAATGTCTTTAGTTTGTTGGAAATGCTTTCCGTAACACTCCAAGTTTCTCAACCATATAGCAGCACTGAGTTGACATTGGTGTTTAAAATCCGGATCTTGTTCTTTGTGCTGAGTGCATTAGATCTCCACACTGACTTCAGATTGGTGAAAGCCTGTCTTGCTGTCTTTTTGATCCTGGTTTTGACATCCTCATCTGTGCCGCCGCCTGTAGTTGAAACGATGCTGTCTAGGTAGGTGATAAAGACTAGTTCCCTTAGGTTTCTCCCGTTCATGCTGATTGGTGCTTGTTGTTTGGGTATCTTCAACACCCCCGTCTTCTTTAGATTCACGTGAAGTCCCACTTACGCTGCCTCATCTGTCAACGCTGTCATTCCAGGTTATTTCTAGGTACCTATGACTTTAGTGAACTAAAGATACTTTTATACACTTTTTGCATGATAGCTACACGGAATCCTGTTGATGAATAAAGCTTTAGACATTATTTAGCTTGGATTCGAGAAATACTTTTTTTAAACTGTCAACTTATATGCCGTTCACCTTCCGTAATCTAAGATATTCACACGAGTCCTGAAGAGCATGTCTGCAAATATAGTTTATTCACTTAATCTCCAAGAAGTAGATGAATAGATACATACAATGATGTTATTAGATATGGAAGTATATAAAAAAAAGTGGTTTCCATCAACACTAAGCACTTCTGTAAGATTAATTATTTTAAGTATTCAAATAATACAGATTCTAAGTCTAGGATTTCATTGAATCCATGAGAATAAATTCCCTTTTTTTCCAATAAAAGATATCATATATGACCAGTAAAACACATTATGTAGAAATAACATAGCACAACGAAAAAAGCAGAATGTAAGTGAACATGTTATGAAAAAAAAAACAAGTAAAGGCTTGTTAACGTGTTGAATTCTTCTACTCTCATGTTCAATTAACTATCTTTCAAGAAAAGAAATTCCTGATCCCATAAAATCATGTAAAAGAAAGTGGTTTTCTGGTCATGATTGTAGCAGTTTCTATTCATAAGCTGTACACAAACTCGTATGAAGTTCAAATGTGCTATATCTTATTAGTTATATTATGATTATGAACAATTAATTACTATGATTGTTTTACTAGATAGTGATATTCAGTAGGCATTCTTCCATGGCTATAAAAGTATTGACAGTGATAATCTTAATTTTCTCCTACTTGCAAAATTTATAGTAGTGATAAGCCGTAAGTAGCGACTTGTACGACGGTCAACGATAATATCAATGTGCTGTTTAAACTTCATTACATGACATATGGTTCCAATTTACGACTCATCAGTTGAGAATCAAATATCTTCACACCTGAACTACACCTTAGGAAAACTTACCAAGCTTTGAATGTATCTAGATTAATAGTCATCAGTTTTCAGGTAGAAAGTGGACGATATCAACAAACGTTATACCGTCTATCACATAGCTGAAGTGATTGTCCCCATTCTCCATGACTACTTTCAGTTTGAAACCCCCCTCTCTCTCCTTCATTGCCTCTTGAAGGTAATCCACCCCGCTACATCTGGTTTAACCAATGTATGGAACGATAGCAGTCACCTAACTAGTCAAACTATTTACGTAACCACGCTGTTAGAAACCTCTAGAACAAATAATTTATTAAATCAGTTATATGAAGGAAAAAAAGCTTGTCAGCACATAAGAACTTTTGCATATTTTAGGTATTATTCAAGATAAAAACCTACTGGTAGAGAGTTGGTAGCTTTTTGACGAAAAATATGAAACTGAGAACAGGACTTTCTGTCACATCAACATCTGCGATAAACGCATTAATGGACACATCATACGAGATCTGTTCCCAAGTTGAAGAAAAATGTCGGCAAGCTGGACACCAAGGGGCATAACTAGGATTTCACAAAGAAGACAAAAAGAAAAATCATTAATTATTATGATCATACGCTGGTGATTCAACTAGATGGGTAGACAAAATGAAAAGTAAGTACTGAGAAGTCACCATAAAAATAAGTTGGATTGTGGATCAAACATCTTAGTAAAAGACATGGAACGTTCTTTAAGACGACTTCTGGCTCTAATTTGGGTATCTAAGCGACGTCGTAAACAACGTACTTCATTTCTTAGGATATGAGGAGTGAATATAGTACTGAACGTGTACTGTTATGCATATACTTCATTTTATTCTCATATGGTTTATATCTTTTATTTATAGCTAAGCACCTCAGCGATGTTAGGTTTCGTCTCGCAAAGTTTGCTTAAAATCACCAGAAACCAGTGGTAACAACGCGTAAATAAGAGTTATCTCCATGAACTGCCAGAAATCGTTGCAGTTTTTTTTACACAAAAACATGATTAATATAAGACCTGAAACTAATGAGTAATGTCCCAATAACTTATTAAGGGTGATCACCTAGGTAGCGGTGACACACTATGCATGATAAACCGCTGACCTATTACATCAGCAACATTAGCAAAGCTTCACTTTAGTGTCAACCTATCTGACAAAGCTGAGATCCAAAATGAACATCATGTTTTGAAACACCACAAAATGGTCAACTCTTGCATGCTTAGGATATCCCATTACTCTGAAATGAAGCCAGTATTGTACTCCTTTCTAGAAATAGTTTCCTTATGTATAAAAAAACCAAGGTAAAGTCTGTTACCAGCGGCATTTACAATAGTAACTCCTACTATGCTGAACCAATTGTGTAAACTCAATCTCCGGAAACAAACCATTCCTAAGATTATACATACATTGGTCAAACTAAGGCTTTAATATCACAAAATGTACTACTGGGAGCGTATGTACAGTTGACACTTCCCAGCTGTCCACACAGTGGAAGGCTAGTTCTTCGAGAGATACCTGAAGAAGAAGCAATAATACATGGCCGTAGAGCCCAGAGGATATCTGCTTGAGGCCGGTTACACACAGCTTTTTTGAAAGTTTGAAATTTCAGTTTTTTGCTTTCAAACCCGAATATGAACCCCGACAAGCGTTCCACCAGCATAGTTCGTTGGGTCATTGTGATATACAAGCCTGATCACCTCAGGTATTAGCTATCTCATAAAATGTAAGGCAGTAAATGACATGTCTATCGGTAACATGATGTTCGACATCCTACAAACACGCGATATGAAAACAAAGGTATACTGAGATCATAACTTTGTTGCAATTCTCGCATTAACGCACCTCAGGCAGATTTTAAAAACGTTGACATACTATCCATCGTATGATATTTCCCTTGAAAGTTCACAGGCGGTAGTTTGTTTTGGAATGTAGTGGAATGCAGTCCTTTTTATTGAATTTAAGACCCGTTATCTTGAGATATGTACTTCCTTTACAGCTGTTTCTAAACTTCAGATGACTGTCGTTTGCAATATATCTCCTGTGTCATCCAAAACCTTACAAACATTATCTTGAAATCGCTAAGAATGACTTAGAAAATCTCCTGCAGGAATATGAAAGGTGTTATTGTCCTGTTCTGAATATCTTGTTCAGAATACGTATTCCATTAGGCATTTACCCACTGATCCAATTAATCACGGACCTCCAGAAATGTTTCTAGCCTTTCGCTTTAAAGTATGCATGAGGGAAATAGGGAGAAGTGTACATTCCGGATTTGCTGCTGATAACCAGGCAGCATAACGGTTTGTCGAGATCTGCATGGAAAAGCTTGATCGATTCAAGGCTCCTGTGACTTCTGTACTTGATGCACTGTAGTTAATTAGAGAAAGGAAAATTTTCCTATGGCAGTTATACACAATACATGCCTAACAACGTCGTTCTGATTAAAGGTGAGGCAGGTTCGATTACTGAAGTAAGGAAAAAAGGAGTACGTTTCCCAGCTTATAGAGATCGATATGACTATTTCATTGAATCTTTTCTGTTAAGTAAGATCGGTGCCAGTAGTTAGAGATGAGGCTACATGAACTTCAGTGACTCAGATTCTCTGCAAGTTTATCAAAGTACTGACATAAAATTATGAAGTCATACTATCGTTGGCTCGTGCATCTATCCTAAGCTTAGGAAACGTACTGCATGTAACCTATAGAACCTTTTCAGTCATATTTACGCGTCATTTCTGGTATCTCCTTGTTAGTTACTACATAGCACTTTCTACTAATATCCTAGGCTACAAGCATCATTCTTTATCCCCACCTAAAGAAGTGTTGTCATCTGCTCCCTACTTTTCAGGTAGGTTGGATGCATTGCAAGTGACGTGGGAAGCTTCTATCCCAGGCCGCTTTCTTGTGGTACTATATTTGTGGACAAAACAATGAGTCACCCTCCCTAGTTATTTGTTTACTTGGTGTTGAACAGGGCTTGCATATTGGGTGCGGTTGCCAAAAGATGCTATTTCTGGTTGACATTAGGTAACAACTTTAAATTCTAACTTCTATGAAGTGATCCCGTACCACTGTATTATTGCATCATGACCACTTTCGAAAGGATTTGTTTTTGATCAACTATGCGCATGGTTTTCCTATGGCTAAAAACTGGTAGTGTTAATTTACAACTGAGCTTATTTTCCCAAGTTGTGATGCTTCCCTACTACCAGTGCAGTTCCCTAATTCCTTATGTCCTTTTTAAAAGGTACTCCATATTTACGCTAATTCATATTCCAGTCCTCAACCATTTGCCGCTTTGTTGACTATATGAAAGACGGCAAATGATTATGCGTTGCTCCAAGCATCTAGATTTTGTCACCAGATATTTGCCCTTGTCTGTCGAAGATGTCTTTGTTGCACTTGCAGGAGTGTACACCTTTAAAAGCGAATTTAGAAACTGGCCAACTACCGTAAAGTATTCGAAAGTGGTAACCTAACTTTATTCTCAAGTTTATGAACCCAGGATCACATGCAAGGTCGCAGAAAATGCGCATTTTATGCATTGCAGCTGCTTACGGGAAAGAAATAGACAAAGCTGAAGATACTCTGCTTCATCTTACGAAGAAGTTTAAGAGGTAAGATTTGTGATACACGCATTTGCTGCCATAAGGGATAGTAAGAAAGAAAGCACCGACCATATCCACTGTTCTATAGACATGGATATCATAGATATACAGAGGAAATACACAACTATAACCTGTCCGTCTACTAACTTCCTGGATAGTCACAAGGTAGATATAAACTGCATTTTGATTTCCTGTGTTTCTAACATCCGCATCCTTGTTTGTATGCCACCATCAGTAGGATACAACAATACGTTAATGAATGTTCAAATCATCATACGGTTCCTACAAAAGCTTGAAAAGATAAGTTTCTAATCAGGATTTCCTGAGGGCAATCGAAAAGCTTCCAGGCATTCATGTCACCTTAATTATTACTGTATACAGATACCATGCAGGATACTAACAAAATGATATTTCAAGTACAATCGTATAAGAAAGCAACGACGAAACACGGGGAAATAACACCTCCATACCTTGTGACGACATTCGCGTCAGTTTTCTGCTAAGCAGAGACGAGTATGTGTAGATTCTCGAGTCTCCTCTTAAAGTTTTCATGATGCGTTTTTAAGTCCATTACAATCACTTATATGCTGTAGACAGAGAAAATGGTAAACAAGCCTCAAGATGACTCAAAGTCATCTCTGCGAGTAGTGGTCTCTGCAGTGGTCCGTCCGGAAGTAGCACCAAATTACGCGTTACTATGAACCATGAACGAAATGGGATTCAACAGACTTGTTTTTACAAGATCGTGAGAGTGGATCGCAATTTACCAATTATTTCCCATCAGCCATTTTCACAAGCAGGTTTGTATCCGTAGGCTTTTCCAAGAAGGAAGTAAAAGTTCAGCTTGACACAACTACTAAGAGCTACTTTTACGACTTGCGCGATAAAGCAGACGAGCGTACCAGGAGGAAAAGAAGTGATATAAGTTCTTAACACTGTACATTTCTCAGTCAATAATACTTTTTCATCAAACAAAGTATGTAGTAAATTATATGGGATCTATGTATTGACTAAAAAGGATCCTTTACCTTGTAACTCCACAGGCCATGCAAGCAGCCAGGGAATCAGAAGACGCGTTACAACTTCATGAATATTTGTATTTATTTTGCCTGTATACGCCCACCTTCTTATTGACCTTACCTGCTTCGTTCAATTAGATATTGTACAAAATAAAACGTGCTAAGAGACTTTCTATCTTGTTAATCTTCGAGGTTTGTCGAGTAAAGAAGGTTGTCTTGAATAAAAAAAGCGTTTATTAATTATAAAGAATGTCAGTCCCGACCTATACTGCTACCTTGACGTGGTGGTCGGGCTTGCATATCACAATGACCCAACGAGCTATTCTGGTGGAACACTTGTTCCCTCGAGATCCTACCATACCACAAAGGTCTGTTGGATAGTGGTTAGATAAAAAGCAGTCACCGTTGTGGTGTAAATTACTACACTATGATGGGGGTCTGAGGGCGAAGTCGTACTGCTGCTAGCTGGATGGGGTGTGACAGCAGTAAAGTCTTTCCTTTGGATGGCCAGCAGTGCCATGCTGAGGCTGCCTTCTCAGTGGAAGGGGGGTTAGAAAAGGTCAGCCCCAAAATAAAACACTTCCCCATGCGCCACGGTCTGCCCTGCCGGCGGTGTTGGTTCATTTGCCGTTTTCTCGACCATCCGGTCCCAAAATAATCATACACAAAAGGTTGGGTGTGACAGGCTTTAAGTGGATGTCCGATGGGCTCTGCGGTCACACAAATCTCTACCAGGTACCTTAAGAAGAAATAGCCTTCCATGGTGTGAGCAGGCGGGAAGTGTCAACCGCCCTCACAACTCGATCAGAACTCCAGTTCCGACAGACTTGTATCCACCTCCCCCATCGTTACCTTCTAATTTTCCTCCACGTCTCTCAATTAATGATTCTACATTATCTTCAATTTCTTCTAGCT